TTGAGAGATAGCAGAGGGCGCGCCTAGGGGGTAGGGCGCGCCCCCCTGTCTTGTGGGCCCCTTGTAGGTCTCCTGGCCTAATTTCTTTGCCTATATATTCCCATATACCCCAAAACCATCGGGGGCATCCACGAAAACACTTTTCCTCCGCCGCAACCTTCTGTATCCGTGAGATCCCATATAAGGGCCTTTTCCGGCATCCTGTCGGAGGGGGATTCAATTACGGAGGGCTTCTACATCAACACCATTGCCCTTCCGATGAAGCATGAGTAGTTTACCTCAAACATATGGGTCCATATGTAGTAGCTAGATGGCTTCTTCTCTCTCTTTATTTCTCAATACCATGTTCTCCTCGATGTTCTTGGAGATCTATTCAATGTAATACTCTTTTGCGGTGTGTTTGCCGAGATCCGATGAATTGTGGATTTATGATCGGCTTATCTATGAATAATATTTGAATCTTCTCTGAATTCTTTTATGCATGATTTGATGTCTTTGCAAGTCTCTTCGAATTATCGGTTTGGTTTGGCCAACTGGATTGGTTCTTCTTGCAATGGGATAAGTGCTTAGCTTTGGGTTCAATCTTGCGGTGTCCTTTCCCAGTGACAGTAGGGGCAGCAAGGCACGTATTATATTGTTGCCATCGAGGATAAAAAGATGGGGTTTTCATCATATTGCATGTGTTAATTCTTCTACATCATGTCATCTTACTTAATGTATTACTCCGTTCTTTATGAATTTAATACTCTAGATGCATGCTAGATAGTGGTCGATGTGTGGAGTAATAGTAGTAGATGCAAGCAGGAGTCGGTCTACTTGACATGGGCGTGATGCCTATATTCATGATCATTGCCTTAGATATCATCATAACTTTGCGCTTTTCTATCAATTGCTCGATAATAATTTGTTCATCCACCGTATTATTTTCTATTTTGAGAGAAGCCTCTAGTGAAACCTATGGCCCCGGGGTCTCTTTTCCATCATACAAGTTTCTGATCTACAATTTTAGTTTCCGGTCTACAATTTTAGTTTCCGATCTACTATTCTTGCAATCTTTTACTTTCCGATCTATAAACCAAAATTACCAAAAATATTTACTTTATCATTTATCTATCTCTATCAGATCTCACTTTTGCAAGTAACCGTTAAGGGGTTGACAACCCCTTTATCGCATTGGGTGCAAGTTTGTTTGATTGTTTGTGCATGTATTCAGTGATTTGTGCGTTTTCTCCTACTGGATTGATACCTTGGTTCTCAAACTGAGGAAAATACTTATCTCTACTTTGCTGCATCACCCTTTCCTCTTCAAGGGAAAAATCAACGCATGCTCAAGAAGTAGCACCCATCCCTTCCCGTTGAACTTTAAGCTCATGAACTGTGACAAGTACGATGGGACCACAAATCCTGTGATCTAGATATGCGATTGATGAGTGGATTTTATGCACACTTTCATGACATATCCATCCAACACTTACTCATGTCCCCGATGCATACTTTCTGTTTTTTGCTTGTTTTACTAAGTTCGTTGCACAATTTTAACTTCTATTAGTTTCTCTTTGTTTTGGGTTCTTTCTAGGTATGTCGGCATGTCCGTGGACTTGGCACATGAAAGGGTCCAAGTTGGGGTTAAGGAGAAGTTCCAGGCACCAGACTTAGGCAATTTGAGAGTGTCAAAAAGTTTCATTTTTCAAAGTGCTCAAAATGAAGATCTAATATCTCATGTGCATTGCCATCGTTCCTGCGATTCCAATGAGCCCAAAAACGTCAAATTTCGAGCTCATATGAAGGAATGACGGTTGTTCCCATAAACAGAGCAAAAGACCGCCCTTGGTACGACCGTGGTTACTCGTACCTGGCCCAGACAGGTCGAAAGTCATAATGTTTCTTATAGTCTGAGGGGTAGCATCGCAATGCAATTGAGTGAGGGAAGGTGCGGCACCGCTTCGACGCTCGTGTCCAAACAACAGCGGCGTGCCTTCCTTCATTGACGATGTCGGTCTTATCTTTCGTGACCTAACTGCTCTAGGTTAGGGCAAAGGGCTTGCAACGTGTGAAAGCAAGAAGCAAATGATGGATCAATTACTTTTATTGATGAATTTGGGCAAACATATATAAAAAACGCTCCCATTAACTAGCCAGTTGGACGCAAGACGTCCACCGCATTGTCCGCACATCATGTGCCCCTAACTAAGCCGTATGCAACATGGCCCTTGTTGCAAGACGCGCAAGCACAACACGAACTAGTGGAAGGAAAAAAGCGGGAAAAAAACTATTTGAGGGGATTGCAATAAGGCTCGTGTTGCAAAGCAATGAGCACAACACGAGGCTTATTGCAAAGGCTCAGCGAGTAGATCGGACACGGTAAAAAAAATATTAAGGGATTGCAACAAGGCTCCTGCTATGAAGCGCTAAGCACAAAATGAGACTTGTTGCAAAGGCTCGACGAGCAGATTGGACACTAGAAAATAATAGTCGGAGGATAGCAACAAGACTCATATTGCAAAGCAATGAGTGCAACACGAGGCTTGTTGGAAAGGCTCAACAAGTATATAAGACTATTATTTCATCACGGGAAAAAATAATCAAAGGTTGCAATAAGTCTCGTGTTGCAAACCATCGAGCACAGTGGCGGAGGCAAAATTGCCCAGAAACTGACATTTGGGGGGCGGGGAGGGGGCATGGGGAGAAATCATAAGTCCTAGGGTGCGTTTGGGAGCAAAGTATTGTTGTAGTTTCTTAGGAATACCATGGTTTCTGACGATATCTTGGTATTCAATACTTTAGGTTGTCTGGACGAAAAAATACTGTAGTTTAACAATTCATGGTATATCTAAAACCGTGGTCTTTCTATAGTATATAAAAAAGAGGCCCGGACCTCTTTTTTGAAAACTGAAAATGCTTGCTACTATGATTTTTAGTAACTGAAGTATTTATTTATTGCCCATGTATTCAAATACTGAGGTTTTGAAATACTACTAATGATTTTGAAAAGACGGTGTTGTTGAACCAGACCTTATTATTCATGGGCAACGCTACACGTCCGCCGGTAGATGTCTAGTAAATATCCACCACCTCGACAGTCGTCAGATCTCTGCGAGTGAGCCGTCCGATCTAACTCCTCGCACGCGCGCGTTGCCTTCCCGACACATTAATTCCTGAAACAACAAACCAGTTGCAGAAACAATGGTCGCGTTGCAGAAACAATTCCTGAAACAACGATCGCGTTGCAGAAAAAATTCCTGAAACAACGTCTGCGTTGCAAAAACAGCTACCATGTTGCAAAAAATTGAAGATTGCAGAAACAATTCCTGAAACAACGGCCGGGTTGCAGAAACAATTCCTGCAGCAAGACCCCTGCTGCAAAATTTGCAACAACATCGGCAGCGACGGTGGAGGAGAGGGCGGAGAGGAGGCGGAGGAGAAGCTGCGGGTGGAGCGACAGGGGGCTGGGGCCGACGACGAAGAGGGTGTTGAAGGTGGACAGGAAGAGGTGGGGCGGGCGGCGGAGGCGGAGGACGGAGAGGAGCAGCAGGAGGAGGAGCCGCGGGGAGGGCGGGGACGGGAGGTGGCGGAGCAGGGCGAGCGCGTGGGGAGAAATCACCGGAGGGAGATCCGTACCTGCTTGGATTGTCGGCGACCGCCGCCGCTCCCGAAGACGAAGTTGTCGTCACGGCGGTAGGTTAGCCCCGGCCACGCCGCCGCCCTCCCAGATCCAGACCTCGTCGCCTCTCCCAATCCAGTGAGCACATGCCGCGGCTTCAGCTGCAGGGGCGTTTTCCTGAAACAACGGCTGGAAAACGAACGCGCGTGCCGTGGGAGCGGGGACGCTCTCGTCCGTCCGATGAAAGAGACGATCCGACGGACGCGGGACGCGTGATCGGTCGGTTGCACGATAGCTTTTCCCATTATTCATACACATAATACAAAGAAAACCATGATCCTTGGGGTGCCCCCAGCCTCGGCTACTCTCTAAGCTTAACTCGATATTTGTTGCAAAGGCTCAACGGCTCAACAAAAACGGGTCATGTAGCTATCTGTGGCTTCATCAAACAGTAGTTCGGGCGGTTGATCTTTATGATAAGGGAATCAAAGAACGTTCGAGATCATGTCAAAAAGAAAAAGTTCGATTTAAAAAAAGAAAAAAAAAACACGTTCGAGATCAGTTTGAGGGTCTAAGCATCAAGAGGGTTTCCACATGCCCACGTGGCAGACCAGGTTCAGCGTCCGTATCCCTCGCCTCTTCCTCATCAGGGCCGTAGCTGCATCGACCATCACCAATCTCAAAGCATTGAGCCCACAAGCAAACCCTAGTCGCCAAAGCGGGCACATATAAATAGCTCGGCCTCCTCGGCCTCATCCCTCCCCTCTATTGCCGCCGCCGCCGCTCCCAGCTCGCGCTCCCTCGCCCAGCTGCCGCCGCCGCCGCCTCGTCGGAGTTCTTCCTACCCCTTTCGCCAACATGGGGTAAGCTCGCCGTCGCACACTTCCAGTTGATTTTCCATGGTTGTTTCTTGGCTAGGATTAGCGATCTGGAATGGCTAGTCTTCTGCCTTCTGTACCGCGTGATTTAGAGGCATGGCGTGAGCTTTTGGTTAGATTAGACCGGCCAGATTCTCACTGCGCCTCGAGCTTATGGACGGTCAAGTGCTGATCAGATTATACAACGTCAGCACTAAACATATTCATAAGCGATATTAATTCGTTGCTGCCGTGTAGTCATATTTTCTTGGTCCAAAACTTGGATCTGGGAGGTTATGCATGGTAGCATACACTTCGATAAGAAATCATCCTGATTTAGTAGTAAATCTGTTACTTTTAACCATGCTTTTTGAGTAATTACTTCAACATGTACTAGGAGATTTTGTTCTACTAAATGATATGAAAGTCCGTGCACAACAAAGCATTTTAGATGGCTGTTTCTCTTTGAATCGTTAGCGATAATACATTTGCGCTGTAGGGTGGCCCTTATTTTCTAGATATAGCATTCTGATTTTAAACGAATGCAATGTCAAACTGTTGTGATGCAGACCAAGAGTCTGTTATATTGTTTTGCTTTTGCTGTGGTAACCGTGAATTATTTGCATTGCAGTAAGACACGTGGTATGGGAGCTGGGCGCAAGCTCAAGACCCACCGCAGGAACCAGAGGTGGGCTGACAAGGCATACAAGAAGAGCCACTTGGGTAACGAGTGGAAGAAACCCTTCGCCGGGTCATCTCACGCCAAGGGCATTGTTTTGGAGAAGATGTATGTTGAAATGGGCAATATGTTTTTCTTCTTACCCTTGTTTTTATGGGGTGAAGCTAATATCTGGACTCTATTGCAGCGGTATTGAGGCCAAGCAGCCTAACTCTGCCATCCGTAAGTGTGCTCGTGTGCAGCTTGTGAAGAACGGAAAGAAGATTGCTGCCTTCGTTCCCAATGATGGTTGCCTGAACTTCATCGAGGAGAATGTATGTTCTCCATCTTGGTACTTTTCAAATGCTTGCTCTGCTGTAGGTACTAAGTCTGTCTTTCACCTGTTGTCCAGGACGAGGTGCTGATTGCTGGATTCGGTCGTAAGGGGCATGCCGTGGGAGATATTCCCGGTGTCCGGTTCAAGGTCGTCAAGGTGTCTGGTGTGTCTCTGCTTGCCCTCTTCAAAGAGAAGAAGGAGAAGCCCAGGTCTTAGATTGCCGTTGCATGGAGTAGACAGTATGTCGGCCTTTAGATGTTGAAGGAGGAGGGTGGTTCCTTTGTGTTTACAGCACTTTTAAGTTGATAACTTATGATCGTGTTGGTGAAAACTATGCCTTTGTCACATTTTGCTCCTGTTAAGGGAAAGTGCTACTGTTGTGAGTTTTGTTCCCCAGTTTGAGATGAATTTCCCTTGTCCTGAAATTGCCTTGGGCATTGGTGGTGTATTTAGAATTTGGTGTTGTTTGTTTCAGGTGTAGGGACCGGATTCAAGCTGAATCTGAAACAAACAGTTATTTTGAATCAGCTTTGAATAGCCAAAATCTGATTTGGGTTTGCCAGCACAGTAATCCGCAGCTGATTCTGTTGGAGCTGAAGCCCAAACAAACAAGGTCCCATGCACCAAATCTCAACCTAATGTGGTGAGGTGGCTGTGTTTGATCTGTTCTCTCACGTAGGTGGCTGTGTGCGGCATTTGCTACTGGAGCCAGTTTCTCCAAAACAAAAAAATTGAAAGCAGACATGTATCGCTGAAGCCCATAGCTTAGCTGCAGGATGAATATGATTGTTTGAACTTATCCATGCATGCTTGGATGAAAAACTTGGCGGAATGAGGCTGTTCCAGTTAACATTTTCCTTTATGGACCCTAATGTCCAGCGAACCTTACATAGGAAGGGATGACATTTGCAAACATTTCCACTGGCAGTTTTAGTTATAAAGAATGACATTTTCTTTAGAAGAGGATGACAGTTTATGGTATATACTATAAGACAATTTTTTCCAGAAAGCTATCACTTCCTGATTTACATTCCCCAGTTAACATTTCCCTTTATGTATGGATTTGGTGATGGCGATTGTGAGCAGCAATTTAGGCAGACTCTAGATTTGATGATGGCGATTCGGAACATCCAGTTCAAGCATTGCGAAAGCAGTGAATGAAATAATTGGTTTTGCTATGATCGTAAATCCCTTGTAATTGGATCGATGAGACACTAGCTCTATTATTCATTAATTAAAAAAAAACACTTGTGGATGATGTATGCATCATTTGATGATTGACAAAGTGTGCAACAGAAAATTGTTTTAAAAAAATAAGATAGATCCTGCAAAAAAATAGAAATTCATAGTTTTCTAGATTAATTTCTTGCGACTTAAATTGTTTTAGGGGTATTTTTTAGGTTACATGGAAATTCATGGTGAAGCACAAGCAGCTTCTTTTTGCTTCGAGAACATAGAGCCCAAAAGCCCTACGAATGTTTCATCCCGCAATGAAAGAAGCCCATATTCTCGCAAAAAAAAACGAAAGAAGCCCATATGCTAGAAGAAGCCCACCGTAAAAACATGCTGCTAGAAGAAGCCCACCCACTTTTCAATCCCCGGGGGGTCCACCGGCAGGGCGAGGCCCCACCCGCAGCCTCCTGTCTTCTCTCTCTTCCCGACCGACGAACGGCCCGGATCCGTCGTCTTCCCCATCGCACCGGCCCGGGCCGCGTCGCCTTCTCCAGCGTCCGATCTCCCATTCCCCGCCCCTCCTCGCAGCGCCAACCACCGTCCTCCTCCTCCCCCTCCCTTCTCTCCCCTCCGCTCCTCCTCGCGCGCGCGCGTTTTTATAAGGTGCGTTCGATTTCGATCCCTCCCCCTCCCCGTCTCCTCCCGATCGCGCGCCGGGCGCCCTGACGAATCTGGTTTGCTCGCGATGGATCTAGGGTTTCGGGGCGCGGGATGGCCGACGACGACAGCGGGAGCCCCCGGGGCGGCGGCGGGGTCAGGGAGCAGGACCGCTTCCTCCCCATCGCCAACATCAGCCGCATCATGAAGAAGGCCGTGCCGGCCAACGGCAAGATCGCCAAGGACGCCAAGGAGACCCTGCAGGAGTGCGTCTCCGAGTTCATCTCCTTCGTCACCAGCGAGTGAGTTGCCCGCCGCTAGCTGCTCGCTGCCACCGTCATCATGCCACCTGGCTGTCGTCCCTGCCTTGGCCTCGGCCTCGAACGAACTCGGCAGGGCTGGTTTTGTTTGTCTTGGGTGGCCGGGGTTGTGACTTTTCGCTGTGGTTTGGTTTGGTTTGGTAGGGCCAGCGACAAGTGCCAGAAGGAGAAGCGCAAGACCATCAACGGGGACGATCTGCTCTGGGCCATGGCCACGCTCGGATTCGAGGAGTACGTAGACCCCCTCAAGATCTACCTGCAAAAGTACAGAGATGTAATCATGGCTCTTGCTCACTATCAGTACTTGCTACAAATGACAATAATTCTCTTGTTTTGTATCTCCCATCTCACCTCGCTTCTTCTCTGTCTTCCTTGCAATTTTCTGGACGGGCGCGGTGATTGAAGATGGAGGTATGTGATCTTGTAATCAATTCGACGTACATGCTATTGATTCACTGATACGTTTCATACGGATGCAAAACAAAATGCAGTTTCCTCTTAGTCCTAGTTTTAACATAACCACAAAAGCGTTAGATCCTGCCTACTTAGGCCGCATAACCTGCGTTAAATCCTTTGAGCGGTGGCCTTTTAACCAGGTATATATAGGTATCACTTGATATGAAATACGCACGACCTATGTACTTGAAGCTTGCAAGTTCCTCGCGTGAAAACCTGAATAAAATCCGCATGCTTTCGAGTTTCATATACCATGAAAGAAACATAGTTGCATTCACGAAGGCCGGTCCAGCTTTCAAGCAATAAACTAGTTCTAACTTCTAAGCAAGGCTGCATGAATGCTCTCTAATACTTAAGTTGGTACATACTTCGCACTGATTTTGTTGGATTGCATTATGGCCTTGCAAGCATCTGTTTCTATCTTGTGTGCTTTATGTGAACAGTATGTACTGAATATTATTCGACTCTCTTGTCTATTACTTTCCTGTAGGGTGATAGTAAATTGACCTCAAAATCTGGTGAAGGATCCGTGAAGAAAGATATAATTGGTGCTCATAGTGGTGCGACCAGCTCAAACGCCCAAGCGGTTAGTATTTGCAACTTGGGTTCCTTTGCTCCTAATGTTTGCTTGAAACTGACTTGCTCATATTCTTTTAGATGGTTCAGCATGGAGCTTACGCCCAAGGGATGGGTTATATGCAACCCCAGGTAACCTATCATACCATCACTTGCCATTACAACTCTATACTTCGATTTTGAAGCTAAACATGACACAGTTCTGTATTGCAATCTTCAATCATCATACTCTTTTCCTGACGCTCTTCCCCTTTACATCATCAGTACCATAATGGGGACACCTGAAACTGAAGATTGGGCAATTTTCGGCAATGGGTATTGCTCCATGAGGTAATTTTGTTGTACTGACAAGCACGTTATTTGTGAGGCAAATTCAGACAATCTTAGACGGCCCTAAAAATCAGTACCCTTTCTCTTCTTCTTTTCAGTGGTTTGTATAATCTTTTTCATGAATCTTCTACCCTTTTAACAAGTGAATTAAAAATACGTATCTGTGCTGAATCATAGCAGATTCTCTTGATGCTGTATGCATGTTTCATGCTTCCTGTTTAAATTTCGCAAAACTGTCAGTATTTTGAACAGATTCATCGCATAGCTTAAGATATAGTCATTCCTTTGACATAAAAACAGTTTAATACACTGTTGTATCTCGAATCTCTTGAATTAAGGGTTGACTCTTATGGTACGTGCAACCACTAGAATCTCTAGAATGTTTTTCTTTGATGGCTCGAATTGTATGAGAATCCCTAGCTACCATACTTGAGAAACATGGCCCGCCTGTCTTGCACCTACTCCCTCCGTTCCAAAATAGATGACCCAATTTTGTACTAAAGCTAGTATAAAGTTGGGTCATCTATTTTGGAACGGAGGGAGTAGCTATTTGAGACTTCACCAAGGCTGCGTTTCAGTATGGTTATGTGAAACTGTTCAATCTACATTGGAGTTTTTACAATAGTGGGCTTCTTAAATCTGCAACTCTGAAATACTCTATAGTAGTTTGCACAAAACGCAACTCTACTCTCTTTCATCTGACACAACACTTGTTTTGCTTGCTGCAGTGGTTATCTATCTGTTAAGGAAGCCGCCCCAACATTAGGTTCATGATGATCATTGGCTGGAAACTAAAGCACCTGGAAGGGTGCTTAACAGTTGGTTGTGATGGCTGCCTCCAAGATGTAAATTGCTTCCGAGAGAATAGATTCACCTATTATGGTTTAGTGCTTGTTTTTATCTGTACATTCAGAATAATTCAGCCGTTGGTAGTTTGCCAATCTTTTGTTTTCAGATATTTGTATTAGGAAGCATAAATATATATCAACTGGGTATTAACTTATAGTGGTGCGGTGTTTCCTGCGCCCGCTCCGGGGTGCAAGGCTCGCCAGACAGACATCGACCTGTGCTTAAGACTTGTGATGCAACATGCAAGCCAACTGAGTTGTAAACATGTCTTTGCCATGTCTGGAAGGGGAGCTGATCGCGTACCCCTCAAATCAACTTTGTTTGGCTGATTGGTGTAGCTGCTCGTTCCTTCGCTGATATGCATAGTTTTTTTACCTTTCTGTAAAATAATGTCGCACTCATCTTATGCAACAACGGGTGGTTAAAACTGCAGGCGAACAATTTCTCCCGTCAGGCAACCAAAGCGCTCAGTTCATCAGTTGGGTCATGGATGTGAACTCATAGCTAAAACTGCAAGGGAACAACACATGGGAGATAAGAGTGATGGCCCAGAAAAAACCATCTACGGTGATTCCCGTCCACTACAATAAAAAATCTACGATGATTCCCTAAAATAATAAACAAAAATGAGTAGGAGATTGTTCGCGCCTAATGAATTGCCAGCTTGTGACAGAAATATCGGACGAGTTGGCGTTCTGTGAAGGACAGCACAAAGATGGGAAGCATACTTACATACACAGAGATCACGTATCTGCCCCTCATTATGGAAAGCATTTTAAAATATACTCCTATACAAGAAAGCCATACACGTACAGCATAATCTGTGCAAATGCCAAAGAAATGATACAAAGCACGGCCGTTGGTGAACTGCAACATGTATTTTTGTTATACAACATATGAATTGCATATGCAAGGCATGAATTCAAGCCATCAAAGGAATATTCATGACGATTTTTTTCATAGTATAAGTAGATAGACGACGGTCGGCACAAGAAGAATACTCATACGATTATTTAAATGGACAGATATTATAGTTAATAAATTTCATGCCTTACAGTCTGGACACAGCAATGATAAGGTGGGGTTTTCTCATTTCTACCAAGTGACAAAATGTGACGGCTAAAGGTAGACAGATCAAATCTACATTTTCTATCTTCTTTGTTAGCTACTATAATCTGCCTCTCCGCAGGAGGCACTGTACGACAAGCCTGCCCTCTACAATATTGCCGTAAAATTACAAAATCTCCTTCCCCTGCGCGGCGTTAGGAAGAAGTCCCGCGGCCTGACAAAATGATGTGTATTGGGAAAAACCCATCTGTCTCGTGAAATTCCACACCTGTGCTCCAAAAATTCCAAGAGACAAGTTTAATCTCTTCAACGTGCCGAAATTTGTATGCATATCATTCTTCGTCGTCTGCTAGCGTAGCAAATGAGAATGGTTTGAATTTGTAGCCATCCCCGTGATAGAACTTGTTCATGAACTCGACCCAGTGTAGACGCAATGCATGAAGAAAGGCACTCAACGATTCCATCCCGAGCAATATGAAGGCAGTAGCAAAAGCAAAAACTATGAGCCCCACTAACTTAAAGATGAGGCTGTCATACCTGTCAATAATACAGTAAATAGTTCAAGTAAGAAACTGCAGTAGATGATATCATTTCTGAGATCATGCATTTCATGGAAGTCAAAATGAGAAGACAAACACCGCCGTACAAATAAAAAAGTTAAGCCCAAGAAGACAAACACCGCCGTACGAATAAAAAAGGTACGCCCAAAAGAGAAGGAGAAAAGGATCGAAGCTTACCCCCATGCAAATAGCAGCAACTTCTCGTAGAAGACTGTTGATAGCTCAGAATGTGCCAAGCTGAAGTTAAATAACAATACATCAAGTCATGGAAAGAACCAACAGATGAAAATTTGCAACAAAGAGCATAATTGGTTTGCTACCAACATTTGGCATTGCCAATATTTGGCAAGCCAACATTTGGCAAAATCAGAAGTTGCCAATATTTTGCAACTTTTTGTGAGATTGACAATGAAAATTGGCAAGCAACCAATCTCTAGCCAATATTTGGCACTTGCCAACTTTTGGCACCAAACCAATTATGCTAAAAAAATCACAAGAGGCAAACCTCAAGGCCCAAAGTCGAAGGTATGATGCAGTATTTGAGACAGCCCCAAGAACAAACTCAATGGAGTGTATCATTTGATGCACAAAAACTTCACCAAAATTGAAATCATCATGACGTGAACGGGCAGAGTCCGGTTCAGAATCTGGATCCATTTCAGATGTCCCAAGGAAGCGATAGCTGTGACCTTGAAATCTCTACAACCAGGTATGAAGATTTAGCAATCCACTAGATATAGCAAACATAATCTAGGATTTTTGCTTACTCACTCATAACCTAAACTCATTAACCTAACAACACTGATAGCATATACTCCCTCCGTTTCTAAATATAAGCCCTTTTAGAAATTTCAACATGGACTACATATGGATGTATATAGACATATTGAGTGTAGATTCACTCATTTTGCTCCGTATGTAGTCCGCATTGGAATCTCTAAAATGGCTTATATTTAGGAACGGAGGGAGTAGAAAACAAAGAAAGATCTCCAGGATGCAGCATAAAAACTAGTGATAACAAGAACCAAGTTAGCAATATAGCTTAAGAGGCACCTCTTCTAGGTTTCACTCTCTGAAATTTACCAATGGTATTCTTAACTCTTGCACTACTGGATTTAACTATACAAGCACAACTCTGTCAATATAGAACATAAGGCTGTAAGAGGCTATGGACTAAGCTTGTGGTTATTAATTTAAGCATCATGACACACCAACACAGGTACAGCACCAAAAATCTATCTCAAAAAGGAGTGCAATTGTTTTTCTTCATGAGTCGAGTTTATTCATAACATACCTCCTTATGAAGTTTCTTTAGAATGAAAGGCTTTGGGAAGAGCATCCATGGAACAGCTACTAGGGCCAGAAGCAACAAAAGTATCTGGAAGGGGAAACTGGTAAATGGGCATGAAAAAGAACATACAATGAAGGCTTTCATTTGTTTTATTAGAAGGTTACAGTACCTGGAGTTCCTTCTGTCCCCAAAAAAGTTGATTCTCTCCAAGATCTCCAGCAGGGTCAAGGAACATATATATCATCACGTGATACAGATCGGCTTTAGATCCCGTGCACCACTTAATGAGAATCAGGA